AATATGGAGGCTATAAGGAAGGTCCCTCCACCCATGAAATTTCAAATTGAATAAAAAATCTTCAAAATGTCCATAAACACATTTTGTCGAAATTACAGCAAAGTTAGAGAAGATACTTCCTGACCTCGGGTACTCCAGGAATTTATTACGGGTTTTTCGTTTAAACGATCTAAGTGGATTTCTTCCTTTTTTCGCTTTCTTTAACAATGTAAGCACGCAACTCGGCCGGATGAAAAAAGCTCTTTCTCGTTACAGTAATAAAAGGAGCCGAATTTTCGCGGCGGTCTCTTTCGTGGTCGTCAAAGTTCCCTCTCGACAAAGGACATCCCTCGAGTCGTTTACACCAAGAAGGGAGGGCCTCGAGGAAGTAATGGAAAAGGGGAGAGTACTTGTCGGCCGAGGTAAAAAGGGAGAACGATAACCGGGATTGCGCGGAGCTAAAAGAAACGCGTCAGGCTAAATACAGGGTAAGAAAGAAAGAAAAATAAAAACACCGTCAGTATTTTACAAGACACGAATCAACTCATATAAGGTGTACAGAGGGTGCAATCTATTCGCAGATGCACTTTATAGTACGCGTCTTTTAATTTGACAAGTTGGTGTGAAGAGAGAGAAAAAAGATGAAAGGACACCCGATGAATATTAATTAATTCCTGCGTTTACCATGAGAAAAGAAAAAATTAACCAAGGAAATATGTCTTTAAATGTACCGATTTATGTCGGCTTACCCAAACAATCATATCTTCGTTTCCTTCCCCGAAGAGTATGAAAAAGAAATCTTAAAAGTCATTTCGTATCAAGGGGGAGAAGAAAATGTCGCGTTCTAGAGGGGAGTACGGAAGGAAGTAAGGAAAGTTCCACGGTGGAAACGCGTAAAAGGGAAGCCTGAAAACGAGGGCGAAGTTCCCGAGGATCTTTCTCCAGGTCCCTTTCTTCGCGCTTTCGTCGAAACGTTACCTACGGAATCGGAAAGTTCGGCCGAAAAGTAAACCGAAACTTTCCCCCAGGAGAGGATATATCTCCGGAAGTGTCGGCATCCCCGGAAGGCCGACGCGAGACGTAGAGTGCAGGGGAAGCGCATCGATAGGGAAAACTCGAGGAAGCTCCGGAAAATTTTCGGGAAAACACGGAAAAGGGAGAGAGAAGATGGAAAACGGCAAAGAAGAAAAAAAGAAAAAAAAAAACGTGTCCAGGAAATTTAAGGACTTCGTGATAACGCTGAACAGGGTTCGCCAGAAATGATGGCTAACGATGGAAAAGTATACAAGGAACCTCCGATAGTATAATTCCCGGAAAAGGGAAGGATTCCCGGTTCTTTTATTCTCCCCCCCATTTTCATCCGGCTCCCTACCAAAAGCTCCGTAAATATCCTTACCGGCTTCCGCGGCACCGGGCTTTATATACTCGAAGGAGCTGCACCGGGATCTCGGGAACGGGAATAACCGAAGCATATAAATCATTTTCAGGAGCAGACGTGGAACAAGCGTAATATGCCCCGGGGAACGCGCCCTGTGGAATCGGGAAGAAGCCGAAAAGACGTGGAAGAAAGATCGATCAGGATCGCCGAAAGGGACAACAAAGAGAAATCGGAAAACAGGGAATTCGAGAGGCCGAGTGGAAATTACTATCCTACTTAGGGCCTCCAATTGTAGGTCTTTAATGGTTTTTCATATATTTTCATAATTCAATACGTTCGAGGACCTGCCCCTGGATTAAATTTCCCAGCGCCTTTCGTATCATCTTTAAAAGAGGAATCGGGAAACGAAGGAAATTCAAGAGACCGAGTGGAAATTTCTATCCTACTTAGGGCCTCCACTTGTAGGTCTTTAATCGTTTTTCATATATTTCCATAGTTTAATTTCGAAGTCCTGCCCCTGGATTAAATTTCCCAGCGCCTCTCGTATCATCTTTAAAAGAGGAATCGGAAAACGAAGGAAATTCGAGAGGCCGAGTGGAAATTTCTATCCTACTTAGGGCCTCCAATTGTAGGTCTTTAATGGTTTTTTATATATTTCCATAGTTTAATTTCGAGGTCCCGCCCCTGGATTAAATTTCCCAGCGCCTTTCATATCATCTTTAACCCATTTGCATCATAAGGAAGTATGAAAAAAGGGTCCTTATCACCGAAATTTCAGGCTGAATGATAATGACCAGCAAAATTGAGCGTATATGTACGCTAATGATGCAAATGGGTTAAAAGTGGAAGACACATCTCTTATGGGCCCGTCGGCGATCCCTCGGGAGTCCCTTTGGAATCCCTCGGGAGTCCCTTTGGGGTCTCGAGGTATTTCCAAAGGATCTCAGCCCGCGGCACCGCGAACGACTTTCCCTCGGACTTTACGAGAGGATCCTCGGATCGAGCTCCTTTCCGGCAGCTCGATCGCGCCTCGGGAAAATGGTCCCGCCATTTCCCGCCGGGGAATCGGGACGCCTTCCCGACGAATGTTCCCGGCGAAATTGCATTTCCCGTCGACGCAGGTGCATCGGGCCGCGTCGATACCTGGGACGCCGCCCGGCCTCTCTTCCGACATATTTATCGGGTATCCTCTTTCCCGCGAACAGGAAGATCCCCCCCGAGAATGCATCCGTCAAACCCCTCAACCTTTGTCGGAAAACTTGTTAAAAAAAGAAAGAAAAGAAAAAAAAGACAAAAAGAAACGCAAGCAGCCTCCCTTCCGTTCTCTTCACCCGCGGAAATAAAAATTTCATCCGATATACAAAATCGTTCGATCATCCTCATTTTATTACTTGAAAGGGGGAAAAAAAAATACAACAAAAATTCAAAAAACCTTCGAGCGACTAAAATGTTTCGGATAAATCGTCCTGTCGATTCTGGAAAATCTTTCAATCGAGAAACCGAACATCATGAACGGCACCGAGGTACTTTAAAACCACGTGCGCCGAATTCAGTCCTGTCAAATATTTTTGTTCAAGTAATAACCATGTCCTGCGGTTCCCCAAAAATTCCACCGACTGAGGTGAACATTTCATCCTATTGTCCGAACCTCGGGATTGGAATGAAATTGTGATGAAAATCGGGAAGAAAAGCGCACTAAAGACCAAACGAGGCATTGTCGGGCCGAATAATTGGCCGATATCGGGAAAGTATCGGGGACTGTTAAGCCGAGGTAGCCATTGGTCAGCCAGCCGAATCGCTCGAGGACATTTAAACGCGGTGGAATAATGATCTCCAGGGATTGCGGGGAGAATAAATCGGGTAGCCGATAAATAAACGGCGCCGAATCGGGGGAATTAAATTCCCGAGTAGAGGTAACGAGAGTCAAACCTGCGTTTCGCGGCATCCGAATTAACCCCTGGAGATAATGTCATGGACCGCTTTACGACGCAGCCATAGCGATAGAATGCGACCTGGAGGTCGGATCCACCCCTCGAAGGGGTTGCGACAAGGAGAGGGCGCGATAATTGCGCTCGTTATCAAGGTACCAGCCCTGAGCCCGGTTATAACAGGTGCGTCAAGCTAGCACGGCAACATCCCAATTCACGATTTCTGAATACAGAGGAATTATGTGCTAATTTTGTGCTAATTTTGTGCTGAATTAATTAATTTTGTACCCCCACCATTTTTCCGAAATTTGAAATTTCAGTGTGGCCGTGCTAGCTTGACGTCAAGCCAGCACGTTCCCATCTCAAACAAGACAAAAAGTTAAAAACAAGTACACCAAATTCAAGGGCAAATTATGTGCTAATTTTGTGCTGTAATCGTTTTTTC